TTAGTGATTAGTAGACAAACGGTTTATGCAAGAAATGGGTTTACAGTTCATTGTCAACAATACAGCATTTTCATCACAATTAGAGGTGAAACAAATAAAAACGTCATGAAGAAGTTGTAAATACATTCATGCTAGTGAGAATATTGTATAAAGCATTGCACATGCATCCTAGGGGCAGACAAAACTGGAGAAGGGCTGTATTTTCACTCACCTCAGCTTGGCTCTGTATTTTGTCATTGAGACTTACATTATGTTTGGGTCAAATAAGAAACCCAAAGTGGTTTTATAAAAAGTTTACAACCATTAAACAATACTGTTTAATCCCACAAATGGATAAAACAAATTACTATAGCTCAATGATACACAAACCAGGACTAAAAAATAGTCAATCTGCCTATGTGTATAGCTAGCTATAATACAGTAGATATCAAATGTGCAGAGGCATTGACTACTTTAGACAAGCAAGGTCTAGAGATACACTGGTTTTGTTTCCAATGAAAACTAACACTAGTGCCATTTTGGTTAGTCGAAGATTGTGCACTCCTCAGTCTCATAGCCGAAGAGAAGCAAACTAGGAGGAAGAAGAGAAGGGTTAGGAGAAGACCTGAACACGGGGCTCTTTGGACAACTTGGCATCACTTTCCCTGTGCAAATCCAAACCTGGTTTACAGAGCAAAATAAACTGTTGAAATTGTTGGCCCTCCAAAAGGCCATTTGTACAAAACTGCACGCTTAGAGCACAGACAGAATGTTAACTGAGAGCCTCTTCAGACGGAACTGTTCCATGTTAGAAGGGAACTGGAACAAAGAGGAATAGATAGGAATTACTGAATTATTTTATAAGGGTTATTTATTCAAAAAAGATTGTAGAGAAGTATTCTCTTGTAAACTAGAAGGAGTTGAGATAATAAGGGGGGAAATCATGCTATATGTGTCATTACTTAGAAGAAAAGTTTTACAGACTAGTTTGATAAGTAATCCGCCATTTTCCCTTCCACACCTGGTACCTTATTTGAGTTCAGTAGTTCCATGTTACCTTTAAAGGCTCACTTTTCTTTGATCTGTCTTATAGAAAGGGTGCCCTGGATTGACCATGCCCCTCCAGAGTCACATTTCTCCTTTAGGTGGAAATGAAAACAGCAACAATAATAAGGTCACAACAAGAAAACAAAAATCAGAAAATCTACAAAGTCTAAGGCCTGAACAGGCAGAGGTTTGCTATGAGGTCAGAAAAATCAGTGAAGGAATTCAAATGACAAAGCACCTCTTACAGAATTCGCTGCTTCTCAAAAACCACACGGAACACTGTGCCTTAACCCCTGCTGTGTACTTGGAGGTAAGTATCCAGAAGGACACACACTTAGCCCCTTGGAGGGTGCTAACGAGGTCTCAATGCTCTTCTTTAATTGCTATTTTATAATTATAGACAAAATGGAAACGTCAAGAAGTGTGCAGATCTTGATATAAAAATGTTTCTCTAATGTAAGAACCACATTGGATTTATGCATTCATAATTATACAGGTCCATTAAAGATTCTTACATATAATTTATTACTATTGACACTTTATAAAAATCCCCTTTGTAAGGACATAATAAATTTAAGAGGCTAAAGAGAATCACAATGTTGCAGATTATACACACAATAGTTGTTCATCTAACAATAAAGAGGCCTTGAAAACTGTATTTGTCTATAAACTACTACTGCCCTTTGGAAATAAAAGCTCCCTCGTTACCCCCGGGCTACTTTCCAGTGACACACAGTGCCACAAATATGGTGAAAATTAAGTACTAAACATAGTTTAAGATGAGTTTTGTATATTTGTTTCTATACAATCAGGAGAAAAGAGATACAATTTGTATCAACAAAAGGTCATTTCTGGTTATTTGAGGCATTGCTCTTAGCTGCTTTGGTTCATACACATTTTACAAGGAGAGAAGAATGGCAATCCTTTCTTAGAAAGTAAAAAATACACATGCTATCTCAAAAAATTCCCCCTACTGGGAGGCCCCGACTGGGAGGAGCTTCCAATTCTTTCGCATTTTGAACACAAACGTATTCCAGATGAATTGCAGGTGACAAGTCGAACCCTGTGTTTCCCTGTAAACTGGGAAACTAATGGACACTGCAGCGTCATTGTCAGGTATAAGAACTGATTGGTACAAAGGCATCAGAAAAATCTGAGATTGTCAAATACCCTGATTTTGTCAAGGGGCAGATTTAGAAGGGCCAACAAGTTCAAGGTGTGAAGTGGTGCTTGGGTGACATAGGAAGCACTGCAGTGACAGTGTTAGTTTGTGTGGCCCTGGCTGATAGAACATATTGTAACACTGTCAGTACCCTGGGGAATGGAAGAGTTAGCAGGTTGGAGGAGGTAAATGTAAAGTTGTGGCTAAGTGACTATTGTTGAAGATGTACTATTCATCAACTTTCACAGAGAGAAAGCTGGGAAGCAGCGTGTAAGCCATTATTCAAACTACCAGAAACAACCCTGACTACAGTCTCACATTCAGAGTGTTTCACAGTAAGAAACATTTATAGGCAGTATTTCACCTTCTCATGAAGAAACAAGAGGCCAAGGCCAGGCCTTCTCAACTCTCATGAAAAAGGACTGTAGAAGTTAGTAAGTTCCAGCCTCGGAAATGGCGAGCTGGTCATCGTTCAAAATGTTGAAATATACAATGGATTCAGAAAGGAGGGCTCGTTTAGTGCATCTTAAAACAAAACAATAAAAACCTCTTGTAGAGGCATGTAGCTACAAATGATTCTATGCAGAGTAAGGTTCAAATTGTGCAAATGGTGCTGCCTGATGCAAAAGTCATACCCTCCTTAATAATGCAGCTCAGAATTATCTACCCCCAGTGTGCCCTCTGTAAGGATTTGAAGTGCATAGCAGAGCACTTCCCCCTTGGGAAGCTGCTCTTTTGCCACCTAGAAAATAAATACCCTGGTTTTAGTTCCAAAAGGAATTCTGCTCTATCTATGACTGATCTTATTGCTCAGATGGTGAAAAACAGGAGAGAGTGGTCATACATGGCTATGCACTCTCTCTCACTACACTTTGTCCTGTAATGTTGAATTGGTCAGAAGTTCCAACTTGGTAGGTATCACTTAATGCCATCCCTCCTGGGATAAGGGAAGTAGATTCTGGTAGACAGTCCCTTGGTAGGTATCACTCAATGCCATCCCTCCTGGAACAAGGGAAGCAGATTCTGGTAGACAGTCCCTTGGTCCTAGTCCAGCTCCTTAGCACTTGTGTATCGTATACATACTAAATGTCGAATATGCGCTTCAAGAGTACCTCTGCTATAGAAAGCTTTAGCCTGACCCCTAATTTGCTAAGGTGAAGAGACCTGAAAGCCAAAAATGGTTAACAAACGTGGTCAAGGAAAATATATAAAGGAAATACAGCTGCTTTACTCTGGTGCTTAAGAAAGCAAGGTTTAAATGTTAGCATGTGATTTCAATTTTGAATCTAATTGAAACTATAAAATGTGACAAAATCATCAAGTTGTATTGTGATCTATACAGGTGTAAACTATAGACTGTATAGAGCTTGTTGTCTTATCACAATAGAAAAGTTGATACCAGAGATACAAACACATCTCAAACCAAATATATAAATCTATACATGCAGTAGAATTGCTAGGAGGGTTCAACTATATCTCTAGAAGCTTCAATGTGACCCTACACTTGGCTAAAGATATTGAATGATCAGATACTCATGCAATAAAAGCTGTGTTTACTTTTAGTTTTAAATATCTCTATTATAAAACCCTTAAAAGGTTAATTCAGAATACAATCTGATCCTCATGTATTGGCTCTCTAAATTGGACAGATGATCCATACTTTATAATATGGAGCGTGTGACTAAGAAAACACCGGTAGCTGGATGTGGTGGCGCACGCTTTCAATCCTAGCACTCTGCAGGCAGAGGCAGATGGATCTCTGTGTGTTTAAGGCCAGCCTGGTCGACATAGCAAGTTCCAGGAAAGCCTGTGCTACGAGAAGAGACCCTGTCTCAAAAAAAAAGTAAAAAAGAAAACAATGATAACAAAGTCCCTTGGGGTTTCTTGCATTTACACAAAGCCTGGGTTTTGCCCTCCATTATCTCCACACTTCAGTGGAAAAGGGCATGGAACATTAGGCCAGAGGACTTCAGTTTGTGTCTTGACTTGATCATTTACTAGCAGTGTGACCTTGGCAGGTCAGCTAATCGCATCAAACTTCTGTTTCCTTCTCTATAAAATTAGATGTTTCCAAAATCTCCCTCACAGAGTTGTTATGTACTAAAATGATAGAAACACTCTGTAATTTTAAAAGTATAACACAGATTATTACTTATTAGAATTATAATATCATGTATTATTACTATTCATATTTATGCAAAAGAATAAGTCTTATGTCAACGTGCGGACCTAAGCTTGGCAACAATCAAGGCTGCCAGTTGCTGAGCATCTGCTGTGTGGGGATTCTTCTCCATCACTGCAAGAACAACGTTAGAAGGGAAGATGTTGCAGAGGTTCTTGTACGTCTGATACTGGTGCTCGGGTATCACATGCTCCCTGGCATCATTGCACATTCCAACCCAAGGATTCCTCCAAAGCTGCTCCATTTTTTCAGGCATGCTCCTTACCATGACTGGTTCGTAACATGGTTGCATGAGACCGTTACCTAAGGGATAGGAGTGGTATCCATAGGAGTCAGCTGCACGGGGCAATGGGTCCCAGCTAGCATGCTGTTCCCTGCACAGAGGAGGCCGCCTTTGCCTCATGGGGTTGCTGTCATAGAGGCGGGAGTCAGAAATACTGTCCATTCGAGTCATCACCAGAGCACGGCCTGGCTGGGAGGGCCCCACAGGATGGATATTGGGAGGCATGGTGTAGTCTCCAGAACAGCTAGAGTGTGCTCCGGTTGCTGGGTTCTGGGCATGCACAGCTAAGTGAGGGACTGACTGCTTGTGGGGTGCTTGCTTGGAATCTTCTGAACCGTAACTTTGCACTCTTGCTAAGGCTTCATGGTAACCATGGGAAAACGGCTGAAGGTGGTTGTGAGATGCTGAGCGATGCAGCTTCAAAGTGCCTTCAGGATGGGCATCAGCTACAGCCAAGTACAAGTTGTTGTAAGAGGAGTAGTTGTCATTCCTTGTATGGCTCATGTGACTGTCAGGACATAGGCTGGGATTCCGAACATATACCCCCTGGTTTGCTTCAGCCATATAGTACTCATGATTATGCATGCTGCTGATGCTCACTTTGGAGAAGTCACTTAACACTGAATAGTAGTCATGGTCCCCCATAGTCTCAAACTTTGGATATTGCTCAGTATAGTTAATAGGGGTGCCATGGCTGTTGGTAACCAGGATAGGGGGGTATTGCATGCTGACCATGTGCTCCAAAGAGGCCTTTTGATGGGGGAAATGGGAGGACCCTGGCACTGGGCTGCTGGCTGAACGGGTGTTGAGGGCACCCACTGCATGGCTTTTGGGGGGAGGGATGGTAGGGACACTTAAAGCAGTCACAAGTGAAGGAACAGAACTGGCCTCAGGTTTACGAGCAATGGGCAGCCACTCTTCAGGTTCCGCAGCCACAGACCGGAGGCTGGGATCTGATTGGCGCTTGGAGGCCACACGTTTGACCTCTGAGGTTATCTCACCTTTAGCAGTAGACATCCCTGTGCCACACTTGGCCAGGGTGTCTTCGCTCATTATTTTCACTGTGGACAGTTTGGCACTGATGCGGAGCTCATCAGCCACCGAACGCTGGGGTTGGTTGGCCCGCTCCGGATGATAGTATTTGCACTTGTGGCCATAGGTGCATTTTTTGCCTGAAAAAATAATGCCTTGGGGTAAGACTCTCTCTCATAGTGGTGTAACCCTCTGTACCAGAAATTGTCCTAACATTCTGGTCACACAGGTTAGGGTTATACAGTTCAGGGTTAAGGAGAAAATTAACTTCACAAAGATGAGCGACAGACAACATCAAGGAGTCACCACATACTGTGAGGGGAGAGGGAGAGTGGAAAGCTTCGGAGGAAATTGCAGTGTAAGAGCTAAGAGCTGAACAGTTGACTAGCCTTAGTTTTCTGGTGACGGACAACTTTTCTTAGGCATAATCTGTATGTTGAGGCAGCCTAGGGGAACCGAAAGCAGAATGATGCAGTGCAAAGAGCCCAATGAGAACTATGTTTCAAATGCAGCTATGAACTTTACTGGCTGTGGGACCTGGACCAGTAACTATCTTCTAAGGCTCATTTTCCCCTTTGGTAAGCAATGTTCATAACCATGTCTATATTACAGGGTTCGGTAAAGATGAAATGAGACAACACACATGAAAATACTCTGATTCAAACATGAATCACAGACAACAAAAACAAAAACACACCCCTCAACAAGTAATTACTCAACAAACGCAAACACCCTAAATAGCCTCAAACCAAACAGTCCATGTTGCATTGTTAGGCTCACAAGCATTGTATCAGGGGGATTTTGGTAAGGGCATGAGAGAACTTAAAAAAAAACATATTTTAGAAATACAAATGAAAATGAAATTTGGAGGCAACCGCAGTACAATTTAGAAGAAAAAGATGGTATAATTAATCGACAGAAGGTATAGTCACATGCCTGAGAAACATGATCTTGTTTAGAGTCAACCCTTTGAAATTGCCCTCTCTGTGTCTATAGTCTATATAGTTTCTGCTTGTCCTTACTCCTAGCAACTTAGGCATCTAAAGAACATTTTCACAAGTGACAACTTGGTATGTTAACAAGTGACAACTAATCTCCCCTTCAATTATACTTAATGTTTCCTCATGCCGTTTCTAAGATGTTTCTTTACATAAGTAACTGAGAGTACATAAAGACACAGGTTTCCATGCACAAATACTGGACAAGCCTAGATTTCTCACCTGAAAGAGAAATCTGCAAAGGAGAAGTATTCAAAGAATCTGTATGTTTCACTTCATGCAGAACTTAATTCTGTCCAGAAGTACTCACCATAAGGACATGGCTGCTTTTTATGTTCGGGAACAACAGGTCTCTTTCTTAAGAAATTCTCAAGGCTTGGACCATGGCGTCCTAAAGGATCATCTGGAGGCATAAATCTGAAAGCAAGCCAACAAGAGATAAATGTGTTTCCTCCTGTCATTAGCACATTTTATAAGAGCTCAGGTCCTCCTTCTGCCTTGCCTGCACTGTAGTCATAGCCTTCTAATTGTGCACTCTACCTCCCAAGACAGTATTTCTTCCCTTTGTTTATACTTAATCACACAAAAGGGATTATTTCCTTGTGCAGCATTCTTTCATGGACTGTATGCACCAGTCAGACTGCCATGAACGTTGGCTTAGCCCAGTTCACCAGCCACTTTCATCCCTTTAGAGATGTATTTTTTCAGTGTTCTTTTCACATGTCATACTTAGCATCCCTCTTTATTCTGTGAAGTTCAGAATAAAGTTCCTGTCATTATTTTCTCTATCCCCTATTTCTACCTTTCTTTTCATATATGTTAAGCCCCTTGATGGTGAGTCCTGCTTCCTAATCAGGCTTTTATTTTTCTAGCAACCAGCATAATCCATGGAATACAATAAGTGTTCAGTATATGTTTATTGAAATGTAATACATTACTACTAGTAATTTGTATTTAACTGTTGAGAGCTTACTAGAAAGAAACTCACTTATCATTCACAAAAGAATACATCAGCAACCGCTCCTCTATAAACTTCTTCCATTCTGGCTTTTCAACTTGAAGGTCTCGGTAGTTATCATTGGACACAATGATGCCATCAGAATCAAAAGCCAATTTGACTATGAATCGGTCATCATAGCAGACCACCCTTCTGCCTTGGACCCTTCGGGATGGTGTGAAGACGAGAATCTTTTCCTTCTCCAGTTTACGTAGAATATCTTGATCTATCAAAATATGTTTATGCCACACAGTAGACATCATCTTTGGAAAATTACCACATTATCCCAATATTACCAAAACAAAAGTTAGTAGTAATTCATTTATTTGTACTTGGAGAACAAGTGTGCTACTTCTTTGCTGTGACATCAAATAGAATTGTGACCTTATATAAGTCCTCTTTCAGACTTTAGTGGTAAATGAAAAATGAAAAAAAAAACCACACCTAGATTCAGACACATTTAATTAAAAAAAAAACTATCACCAAGAATAAGAACTAACACTTGATCTAACATTATTCTTGCTTGTTTGAGACAGAGATTTTCTATGTAGTCCAGGCTAGCCTGGGACTTCAGATTCTTCTATATGAATATCCCAAGAGCAACGATAACAGATGATTACCAACACACTCAGCTACCCTTAGCATGCTTGATGTTTATCTTTCGCTTTGTCTGAAGCAAAGGATTTTTCTTTCCCATGGTAATGGGGTTGAAACCCAGAATCCAGAGCACAGTAGGCAAGTGCTCTACCACTGCTCCATGCCCTAGCCTAGCCTAGTTTCATGACTGTTTAGGTTCACAAATAGCAAAGGCTGTGTCTGTCAGGAGATTAAGCCATCACTCATGAAGACGTTCATTTTTTACTTTTACCTGTCAGAAGGACAAATCTAAGGTGGGACAACAATCTATGACATTTAAGTAGTGATTTTCTTCTTCCTTAAAAAAATCTGTGTGTGTGTGTGTGTGTGTGTGTGTGTGTGTGTGTGTGTGTGTGTACTATGACATGTGTGAAGGGGTCAAAGGGCAACTTGTGGGAGTTAGTACTTTTTCCACTCTTCTGTTCCCAAGGATTAAACTCAGGTTGTCAGACTTGGCAGCAAGTGCCTCTACCTGGTGAGCCTTCTTGCTGGTCATTTTGGGGCCAGTTGTTTTAGGAAGCAAAACTTGCTTACTGGACTTGACCAATACTGAGATCTACTCTGGAGCTTGCTGCTCTACAGACGTAGACAGCTCTACACAGAACTCAACCATCCACCCACTGGACTGTCTGAGTAGTTACTTTGGGAGAGAGATGGTAAACACACCGGTATCTGTATGTTCTTCAGTGCTATACAGAGCATGCCCTACATGTACTGGAAATGTAGTGACTATGCTGTCTGCATGGGGCTCACATCATGATTCTTGTGGAATTTAGGCACCTTTATGTTCATGAGCTCTTTCTTCCATAAAGAAATATTTAAAAGTTCATTTTAGAATTAAACTAATATAAAGACAAACATAATCCAATTACGTGTCTTATTGTGTATTCATTGTCATTCTCTATTTTCTTCTTATGTGAAAGGAACATAATGAAAACATTTTTGTGGAGATTTACAAAGTGTGATCATCTCTAGGCTTCAAACCTTCATTGCTTCAGACACAGACTTGTTTTTACTGTCTTTGGTTGTTTTTTCCTCTGTTACTCCTAATTTGTAAATGCCACAATTGTTTCTTTGATACAAAATAAGATCGCCTATATATCATATAACTTTTAGTTTCTTGCAAAATTCAGTCATATTGGTAAGCACATTTATTCCATATTGTCTGAAATCTCTGATAGATCCAACAGGCTGCCCTGGCACTCGCTATATGGCACAGGTCAGCTTCAAGCTCATCACCCTTCTGCCACAGCCTGTTGAGTATTGGGATTTCAGGTGTGCGTCACTATTTCCATAAAAATAATGTTCATTTCTCCAGTTATGTGCTTTATGGTTTTGTAAATTGAAGTCTTTATTTAACTATCACCACAAAACAAGGACGGTTTCATAGTGGATCACTTTAGAAAAAATACACTTACTAAAAGACATTTTAAGCATATTTGACTTAGAAAAGCAAACATCTAAATTGAAACCATCTGCCTTTCTCCAAACCATCCTTTATCTTTGACCCTCGAGGAAAAGATTTTTTGATTTTGAAATAGTACCTGTAATTGGTGCATCAGGGCGGGATTGCTCCTTTCTCCATGCTGGCACAAATACAGTGATATCTTTATGGCCTTTGTCTAGAAACCAATCCACAGCAAGCTGTATTCCTCTGCAGGAGAATTCTTCTTTATTCCCATGGCTTCGGAAACAATACAGAACAAGAGACAAAAGAATTAATAATAGACAGCAAAAAAAAAACACCCCACCAGCCCTTTTCTCAGTACTGAGTTAATGACAGATATTTTTGTTATTTTTCCTGTATGTTTTTTGAGACAGGTTACACTATATATCACAGGCCGGCATGAAACTAACTGTCTAGAGGCTGGCCTCCAGACTGTGATGATCTTCCTGTCTCACCCTTCCAAGTGCTGAGATTACAGAGTACCAATGTCCGTCCTAGACAACATTTTCTTTCTTGATGAAGTCAAACACACACACACACACACACACACACACACACACACACACGTTTCAAGTGCAGAGGATCACACTCGGGACATCTACAAGCTTGCTACTATTAAGTCATACCTCTATTCCAAAGAACACTTTTTAAAACAGAAAACTACGTTCTTTTTATTTGACTGTTGTACTTTTATAAAGTTGACTCAATGCCAAAGGTAGTTAATAACAACCCTCACCTTATAGCAGACATGATAACTAAGATTAGATTTAGTTTCCCTCTGTCTGTTTCTATTGCCACCTTTACTCAAAGAGTCAGGTATTCACAATATATTGGAAAAAAAGATAAAGCTTATGTGGAAGATAAGTTGATGTGAAATTTAGACACACAAGCACACACACACACACACACACACACACACACACACCCCGATACACTGTCATGCTATAGGAGTTTCTTCTGTGTCATACTCCCAGCCATTAAGAATATATATATTAAGATATGGCCCCAGACAGGCTGCTCATGTTACAGTGGTTGACCTTACACTCATACTGCCAGCAAAATCTGGACTTAGTGAGAAGAAGACAGAGCAAAACAAACAAAAAACCCCGAATATGCGAAGTTGGGAGGGAGACATGGTAGAATAGTTCTGGTAGGAGTTTAAGGGGAGGGAGTGAAAGGGGTGGATTTGATCAGATTACATTGCAAATATGTATGAAATTGTCAAAAAATAAAGATATATTAATAAAAGATCGCCACACACCAAAATTTGGAAGACATCTTATACCTACATAGTGGGTACACCTCAACTAAGATATGCCCTTCCTTTCCATCCCCCCACATCCTCTGTGTCACCTATTCCACACCTGTAATTCACTCTACCCTGCGACGAATAAATAAAGTCCGGCTGCAAGCTTGCTCCTACTGTGAAACCGTCACCCCTTTGAGACCTATAAGAAGAAACTCTCACTTGGCCTTGTGCGCCTGAATTCTCAGAGCTCCCACCATGCTGCAGTCGATCTGTATGATTATGGTGTTAATAACTTTTCTAATCAACATCTTACCAAAAGGGAAGAAACGGGGAAAGAGAGCCATAAAATTCTAGTATTAACACATCTATCATAATAAGAACTTGAAAGTTAAATAGCTTCAACTAACCAATAAAGAGATGCAGGCTGCTGACTATATTAAACATGAATCGCTGTTGTCTTCACTTTGCTTTCCTTACTGGTAATGACAGTGCAAAAACTAATAACAGTGAAATCAGGGAAAACCATCTATCAAATGAATGGAAACTGAATCAAAGCTGACATAACTATTCTGTAATCTGATAAGTGGATTTCAACCCCAAGCTTATCAGAAGATATAAAGAAGGGCATCACCTATTAATAAGGGAGATAATTTATAAAGAAGATATAGCATATATATTTTCATAGTGTCAGTTTTATCAATCCACAACCATGGGAAGTCTTTCCATCTTCTACTGTCTTCCTCCTTCAGAGGTTTAAAGTTTTCATTGTTTCCTTACTTAAGTATATTGCTAGGTACTTTTGGGGAGCTACTGGGAATGGGATTGTTTCCATTATCTTTCTCAGCATTGATTGTCTTGGATCTATAAAAAGGATACTGATTCTTGTAGGTTGATTTTGTACCCTGAACTTGGTTGAAATAGTTTACCATTTCTAGAAGTAGCTTGATGGAAAGGTTTTTTTTTGGGGGGGAGGTGGGGATTCGAGACAGGGTTTATCTGTGGCTTTGGAGGCTGTCCTGGAAGTCACTTTGTAGACCAGGCTGGTATCAAACTCATAGAGATCTGCCTGCCTCTGCTTCCCAAGTGCTGGAACTAAAGGCATGTGTCACCACCACCCGGCGATGGAAAGTTTTTTGTCTCATATGTATGATATCACATCATTTGCAAATGGGGATAATTTAACTGCTTTTTTCCCCTAATGGATCCCTTTAACTTCTCCTCTTGTCTTGGTGCTCTAGCTAATGCTTCAAGCACCATGTTGAAAAGGAATGGGGGTACTAGGCAGTCCTTCTAATTCTCTCTTTCAAGGGGATTGCTTCAAATGTTTCTCCATTTAAGGAAATGGTGGTTGTTGGTTTGTCACATACAGCTTTATTATGTTGAAATATGTTCCCTCCTGTCCTACTCTCTCTCTAGGAATCTGGATAGCCAAAGTAATATTGAGAAAAAAGAACACTGAGAAAAAGGAACACACTCCTCTCTCTCTCTATATATATATATCAATAACACTTGGAGTGGTATTCATCTGTAACCCTCCAGCAGCTGAGGGTTTGAGATATGTGAATCTCAGGGGCCAGCCAGTTTAGCCAAAATGGTGAGTTCCAGGATCATTGAGCCATCCTAGGTGAAGAAGCAAATAAGGAACACATTCACACAGGAACTTATAGCCTCCACATACACCCACACAGGCAAGAACAGCCGCATATATACATCACCACATATACACATGAATGAACCAGTTGAAGTAGGGGAGGAGGTACAGCTAAGGGCAACGAACAATCAGAAAAAAGTGAGACACATATGTGTGAAGATACAATGATGATCAATCCCATTTCTTTGAAGAATGTCATTAGAATATTGATAGGGATAGCAATGCACCTGTAAAGTACTTTCAGTATAGCCATCTTCACAGCACTGATTTTCTGATCCAATGTTTCCATTCTTCTCTGTTTTTGAATGTTTGACTACAGAGCTCCATCGCTTTCATATGTACTTTTTCCTATGTACTTTAGGAGCTATTATAAATTGAATTATTTCACCTATTTATTTTTCAGGATATTTATCATTGGTTAAGTAGAAAAGCTACTGACTTTTCTATGTTGATGTTGTATCCTGCTTTTCTGAAATAATTTATTGGATCTAAGAATGCTCTAGTAGAGTCATACACACACACACACACACACACACACACACACACACTTTCCTATTTGTCACTTTTCTTGCATTATTTCTCTAGTTAAGGTTTAATAAGTGTGGAAAAAGTGTACACTCTTATTCCTAATTTTAAAGGAAAACATCTTGGTATTTTCCCAATTTATTATAAGGCTTACTACAGATTTGTTGTATATATAATTTATGCTGTCGAGGTATGCACTGTTATTTTCTAGTTCCAGGGCTTTTTCTTACGGAAAAAAATGTTGAAATGCATCAAAAGCCCTTTCTTCTTCTTCAGATGATCCTATTTAATTTCTGTCTGTGAACCTATGTATGTGCTGTATTGCATTTATTTTTATTATTTTTCAAGGTCTGATCGTTCATCAGTACTCTTAAAGACTCTTTCTATTCATGTATTTATTTTACAACCCAGTCACAGCCTCTTCCCTGCATCCGCCCTTCCCCGTCCCCCTCTCCCATTTCCCCTCTCACCTCCACCCCCGCCTCTTCCATCTCCATCCAGGAAAGGGCAGGTCTCCCATGAGTATCAACAGCACATGGCATATTAAATTGCAGTAAGACAAAGCACCTCCCCATGTATTAAGGCTAGGCAAGGTGACCCAGTATGAGGAGTAGAGTCCCAGAAGCCAGTAAAAGAGTTGGACAGTCCTTGTTCATCCTGTTAGGAGTTTCATAAGAGCACCATGCTACACAACTGTAACATACACAGAGTGCTTAGACCAGTCTCCTGAAGAGTTCCTGGTTGTTGGTTCAGTCTCTGTGAGGCCTTGACCCTTCTGACTCTTACACTTCTTACTCCTCCTCCTCAGCAGGATTCCTGAATACCACCTAACGTTCATTTAGGAAAATAATAATACTAGTTTCTCCCCTGTGTAGTTTCAGGTTCTAGATCCTAATAACAGTGCAAGGAATAGATTTTGACTTGTGGAGTAGGCCTTAAATCCATGTGGAAAATGGCTAATTACTCTCAAAACATTTGTGCCACTATTGCTCTGGTGAACGTGTCTTGTTAGGCCTGTCATTTTTTGTAGCTTGCAGGGTACATAACTGAGTACTGATAACTACTTTTTTCTTATGGTAACATGCATATCAGCTTTTAGTATTATGAAAGCTGGCACGGGGTTGTTTTGAATATCCAGGTCTTTTGTGCTTACTTAGGAATTTTATGTTTTGTTTTTCTGTTTCTTCATGGATTTCCATTGAAATAGAATGAGATTTCATTTAATCCTTTGATAACTGTAACTTTCATGATATTAAATCTGCTATCTATGAGCACGAGAGGGCTCTTGCTCTTGTGGTGTCTTCAGTTTATTTATTCACTGTTTGAAAATGACAATTGTAGAAGTCTTTCACCTTCCTGGTTAGGTTTATTTATAGATATTTTGTCTTTGAAGCTATCAGGAGTTGTATTCCTGATCGTTTTCAAATTAATATTTATTTATTCTTTGAGAATTTCAAACATGTGTGTACAATGTATTTTGAGCATATCCACTCTCATTCTTCCCCTCCAACTCACTCTAGAACTATAAGCCCAAATAGACTCTTCTATAAATGTATTTATCACAACAGAATGGTAACTGGTGTATAAGTTGGTTACTTTCCCTAGCTACTGTGATTAAAACAGGAATGAACATGTATGTGAAAGTAATTCTTGTAGCAGGATATGGAGTCCTTTAGGTACTCTAGGTACTCTATATTTTTTCCTTTAGGAGTTTTAGAGCATTAGATTATATGATCATTTGGAACTTTGCAAAGGGCAAAAGATATGAACTTTCATTTACATGATGATATCTAGTTTTCTAGCACCATGTGT